ACCAAAAACAGAAAGCACTAGTGTAACAATAAGTGATTAAAACGTTAATGCAGTGTACTTGCTGTTTTTCCCTAACACATTCATAATTATTATATTTTCCAGTGCACTGTGGCAAGCCTTTTTTGCGTGCGCTTATTAGGCTATGTAGGCAATTAAAGGCTCATTATTATGATTTATATGGTTTATTAATAAAAGTGCGACTAATAGTAAACTAATGCTTAAAATGAACGACTACTAGTCGACCAGAAAAATCTTTTTTCGAGGGCAGCCCTAATGCATATTGACTAATTGTTTACGAGAAGCATACACATAAGAGAGTGACAATTAGCTGAATATATAGCCTACTTGTTTAATTAGTGAAACTTAGCCTACATTTTAAAATCTTTATTTGAATGTGGCAATTAAAGGGGTCATATGATGTTGCTAAAAATAACATTATTTTGTCTATTTGGTGTAATTAAATGTGTTTATGCGGTTTAAGGTTCAAAAACACATTATTTTCCACATACTGTACATTATTGTTTCTCCTCTATGCCCCGCCTTTCTGAAATGCATCGATTTTTACAAAGCTCATCAGTCTGAAAAGCGAAGTGTGCTGTGATTGGCCAGCTATCCAGTGCGTTGTGATTGGTCGAATACCTCAAGTAACGGAAATGTTACGCCCCTTACCATACTGTGATGCCCTGTCAGGCCGGAGCAACCAGTAAGAGCTTGTAACACTCCAAAGAGAAAGGAAAAATTGAAATCGCATCATATGACCCCTTTAACATTTTTATTTTATAACTTTTATTTGAATATGGCAACATAATATTGCGCTCTACAAAATTTCTATGAATAAATCTCTGACAGAGACTATCAGCCAATCACTCTATGCATAGTTAGTAAGCATGCTGACATCATCTCTAGCAACGAGGTCAACCCCACCCTTACTCTTAGCTTAAGACTTCTGTCTATTCCTTAGTAAAAGTTTGTCACAGCAGCTTTGTGAATAGATTTAAAGAGTAAACTCTTAGCTAAAAACTTTTACTGCTATTTAGGAGAACTCTTAGTGGTAAGATAAAATTATTTGTGAATACGGGCCCAGGTTTGCACACATCTTAGGAGGGATTTTGATCCACTCCTCTTTACAGATCCTCTCTAAATCCTTAAGGTTCCTTGGCTGTCATTTGGCAACTCGAAGTTTCAGCTCCCTCCAGAGATTTTCTATAGGATTGATGTTTGGAGACTGGATAGGCCACTCCATGAACTTAATGTGCTTCTTCATGAGCCACTCCTTTGTTGCCTTTGTTGCGTTATGTTTCGGGTCATTGTCATGCTGGAAGACCCATCCATGACCCATCTTCAGTGTTCTGGCTGAGGGAAGGAGGTTCTCGTCCCCAAAGCATAATGTTTCCACCTCCGTGCTTGACTGTAGGGATGGTGTTCTTGGGGTCATAGTCAGCATTTCTCTCCGTCCAAACACGGCGAGTCGAGTTAATGCCAAAGAGCTCAATTCCCAGACAGCAACATAGTGTTGGCCTAGATCCGGCCCACATCTGGCCCGCGTGAAATCCATGTGTGCCAGATGGGGGCCGGATCGGGGCCGACACTTGTTGCTGTCTGAGTTTTGGTCTCATCTGACCACAGCACTGTCTCCCAAGCCTTCTCTGAATCATTTAGATGTTCTTTGGTACATTTACATTTACATTTAGTCATTTAGCAGACGCTTTTATCCAAAGCGACTTACAATTGGGGGATACATAAAGCGATTCTTCTTAAAGAGGTAAACAGACACAAGAAGTGGTTGTAATACCAAGTTCTTAGACATTGTTCAAATAAGTACAAGCTAGAAAGAGAAGGAATAAATAAAGAGAGAGATACTTTTTTTAATTTTTTTTTTATGATGAAGTCAAGTGGCTTCGAAAGAGATGAGTTTTCAGCTGTCGCTTGAAAATTGTCAGGGATTCAGCATTCCGGATAGGGGTGGGAAGATCGTTCCACCAGCCAGGAGTGGTGAACGAGAATGTTCTGGAAAGTGATTTTGAGCCTCTCTGTGATGGCACCACGAGGCGTCGCTCACTAGCGGATCTCAGACTTCTGAAGGGGATGTAAATTCGTAGTAGTGAGTGGAAGTAGGCGGGTGCTGAGCCTGTGGCTGTTCTATATGCAAGCATCAATGTCTTGAACTTGATTCGGGCCGCAACCGGTAGCCAGTGCAAGGAGATGAAGAGAGGTGTAACATGGGCTCTTTTGGGCTCGTTGAAGACCAGTCGTGCCGCTGCATGAAGCGGATATCGTCCTCTTTTGGAAGGCCAAAAAAAAAGTAGTTTCACTTTCACAACGAAACACACAGCGACTCCACAACATGGCAGCGGCGGCAACAGCGAGAATAAAAGTTACGCCTTCTTTTTTTGCGTGAACATTTGGGTGGCATTATGCAAATCTTCCCACATCGTGACGTAGACATGTGGGGGCGTGTTAGAATGAGCCGTTTTAGGCAGGCGTGGTTGACTCTTAACTTTCATAAAGAATATCTCGTTGGATTTGAGACTTTAGTCTTTGCAACTTTACAGATCTTCTTTATGCACCAAGAGCTTGTAACACTCCAAAGAGAAAGGAAAAATTGAAATCGCATCATATGACCCCTTTAACATTTTTATTTTATAACTTTTATTTGAATATGGCAACATAATATTGCGCTCTACAAAATTTCTATGAATAAATCTCTGACAGAGACTATCAGCCAATCACTCTATGCATAGTTAGTAAGCATGCTGACATCATCTCTAGCAACGAGGTCAACCCCACCCTTACTCTTAGCTTAAGACTTCTGTCTATTCCTTAGTAAAAGTTTGTCACAGCAGCTTTGTGAATAGATTTAAAGAGTAAACTCTTAGCTAAAAACTTTTACTGCTATTTAGGAGAACTCTTAGTGGTAAGATAAAATTATTTGTGAATACGGGCCCAGGTTTGCACACATCTTAGGAGGGATTTTGATCCACTCCTCTTTACAGATCCTCTCTAAATCCTTAAGGTTCCTTGGCTGTCATTTGGCAACTCGAAGTTTCAGCTCCCTCCAGAGATTTTCTATAGGATTGATGTCTGGAGACTGGATAGGCCACTCCATGAACTTAATGTGCTTCTTCATGAGCCACTCCTTTGTTGCCTTTGTTGCGTTATGTTTCGGGTCATTGTCATGCTGGAAGACCCATCCATGACCCATCTTCAGTGTTCTGGCTGAGGGAAGGAGGTTCTCGTCCCCAAAGCATAATGTTTCCACCTCCGTGCTTGACTGTAGGGATGGTGTTCTTGGGGTCATAGTCAGCATTTCTCTCCGTCCAAACACGGCGAGTCGAGTTAATGCCAAAGAGCTCAATTCCCAGACAGCAACATAGTGTTGGCCTAGATCCGGCCCACATCTGGCCCGCGTGAAATCCATGTGTGCCAGATGGGGGCCGGATCGGGGCCGACACTTGTTGCTGTCTGAGTAAGTGCCTGGGCGATTTCGTTGCTCGGTGAAGTCGCGCAGGAAAAGTCGCAGGTCTTTACACTCATTGGTCTTCCCACGAGGCCTGAACGCTTCCGCTGATGCTTCCGCGTCAGCGCACAGACATCAGATAAATACACAGTCTAAGACACTAAAGTGAAAACAGCTGTGGCCGCCTTCTAATTAGCACAGCCAATAGTCTATAGCAGGGCAATTCCTCCAATCGAAACTACAGTTCGCACTTCAACGCAGGAAGGGAGCAATTAAATTACACGCGCTCCTTCTTAGCCGAGGGCAGTTATTATAATTACCAGAAAGTGCAATCAAAAATACAAACGCAAACAAAAATATAAGCAGAAATAGGCAGAAAACGAAATATTCCTTCTTAGCAGCAAGTAATAATTCCAAACTTTAAATGGGACATTGCGGTGTAGTGTGTTAGCAATGGTTTGCTTGGTGACTGTCCCAACTGCCTTAAGATCATTAACAAGCTCCTCCCGTGTAGTTAGGGGCTGATCCCTCACCTTTCTCATGATCATCCTTACCCCATGAGGCGAGATCTTGCACGGAGCTCCAGACCGAGGTCTATTGATGGTTTGGATGGTTTTGTATTTCTTCGATTTCTGAATAATCGCACCAACAGTTGTCTCTTTCTCACCAAGCTTCTTGCTGATGGTCTTGTATCTCATTCAAGCCTTGTGCAGATCTACAATCTTGTCTCTGACATATTTTGACATCTCTTTGGTCTTGCCCATGGTGCTGGGAGAGGTTGGAATGGAAGATACAGATTGTGTGGACAGGTGTCTTATATACCTAACAAGCTGACATTAGAAGTAACTTCTTAAAGTGGCAGGACTAATCTGTGTTCCACACAGGAACATAACCAATCTGTGGGAGCTAGAATTCTTACTGGTTAGTAGGGGATCAAATACTTATTTCACTCACTTATGTACTTATGTAACCTTTACATAATGTATTTCTGGATTGTTTTGGTTGATATTCTGTCTCTAACTGTTAAAATAAACCTACCATAAAAATGACAGACCCTTCATTTCTTTGTAAGTGGGCAAACTTACAAAATCAGCAGGTGATAAAAAATAATTTCCCCAATGTATGTATACACTTTTGTGCCCAAGTGGTACATAATAACCTATAACAGAATATGCTTTACTATTAACAAACAAACAAATAAACAAATAAATTACATATTTTGTTATCTAAAAAAATCCCAGATAAATAATCTCATATTATGCATTTTTCTTTTTATTTTATATGATAAAACAGCCTAAATACATATATACAATAAAAAGAGGAAAAAAATAATTTATGTAACAAAACAAGCCAAGGACAAAAAATGTGTATATGTATGCATGTGTGTTTGATGATTAAGTGTGTCTTTTATTACAAACAAGTGTGCGCTCAGATACAGACAGACACTATGAGTAAGCACACAGATATGAAACACACATTGAGTTTCATTCACCAATAATTGCTCAAGAGACACAGTGGAATGCAATAACGAAGACCAACCCACCTGAATATGAAGATAAAGAGCATTAGTAACATACAGAAGGTGGCCACATTGTCCATGGTCTTCATCAGGACCACCAGTTGTCTGCGCAGAGCTGGCATGAACCGCACCAGCTTTATGACCCTCAACAGTCTGAACGTCCTCAGGACGGACAGACCCCCGTCAGACTGCCCAATGATCTCACATACACTATACACAAACACACAAAAAAGTGTTGATTATAATGTAGAAATATATATATGTATATCATATAAGGGTGTTTAACTTCGGCACTTTTGTGTCCAAGGGGTACACAATAGCCTATAACAGAATAACGTTTACTTGAACACAACATTAAAACTGACATTTTATCTTGTCTTCATCATTAATTTTTGCTACTCCAATACCTTTTACATATATTTTTAATGACTTTAAGGTGTGGTCACATTAGTGAAATTTCATCAAATTTTCACAGGGAAAAACCGTCTAGTTTAAAGGTCACCTATACTCTTGTCCTAGACCTAGAAATTAAATCTTAAGCTACAAAATTATTATTTCGAATGTTATGCTTAAAATGCTTAAAAGACAAAAACAAACTATTTGAATATTTATTGTGTGAAATTATTGATATCATTTTTTGACTGGTGCCACTTGTAGTTTCAATAAACCAAAAAAATGTTGCCCCTAAAAATGTTTTTGCCAAAATGTACTTGGTTACCAAGTAAACAACCATGTCAGTACAAAGCATACTTGAGATTAAATGTGAAAACAAAACAAACAAAAAAAGGTGAATATCACTATTTTTGTTGAGTTATTTAGCTTTCTGTCATTCAGCAAGCACTCTGTGTGTGTGTCGGTCTGATATCTGTTGTGAGTCTTATTTGATGTTGTTTTGTCAATCAGGAAATGTCAAAAACACATGATAAAAAGAAACACATAAGGGACGAGTGCAGGCAACATTTCAGACTGTGTGTTTCTCCCTGCCCACGTTATATTACAGGTGGGGATACACACAGTTTGTGGGTTGTCTGCCTGGGAGTGGAACATGCTGAGTCGGCTCTCGAGAGAGCTGACTGCCCGCATTGCGAGCGTCTCTCGATGCATGTTCTCCGCTCCCGGAAGGCTCTCTTTGTGGAGGGAGACTTCTCTAGCGTTCCCTGCGGCACTGGTCCCGCTTCCGTCGAGGCGGAGCGATGATTACGCTCGTGGGGTTCGCAGGTGGATCTGGTGGAGGGAATGGAGACGGGCGAGTCCCTTTCTTCTTCCTCACCCACCAGATTCAGCGCGCTGTGCCAACCGCTCTGTGGTTACTTCCCCCCGGGGAACGTGATCGACGCTCCGCCTGTCTTCCTCCGAGGAGTTTGATGTGGTGGGCGTCGATGAGGATTCGCCCCCTCAAACGCCTCAGTATGAGGAGCTTTTAGAGGTGGTAACTCGTGTGGTGGCCAAGTTGAACATCGATTGGCCCGCCGAGAAAATGTCTGAGCCGCAGAAAAGTAAATTAGATGAGCGTTTTCTGCTTGTGAAGCAGCCACCTCCGCGCCGGAGCCTGCCTTTTTTCCCCGACCTCCAGTTGCCCTCCAAGCCTCTAAAAACTACATCAGCGCTGGTGAGCAAAGGGTAATCGGCAGCGGGTCAGGCTGGTGCATGTCTGCACACCATGGCGGTGTTACAGGCGTACCAAGCCGACCTGCTTAAAGAGCTAGACGAGCGTGAGCAGATAAATTCGGATGATATCACTGAGCTCAGGAGGACCGCTGATTAATCTCTCCGCACCACTAAAGAGACCGCCCACGCCATCGGTAGGTCTATGGCAGCTATGGTGGCGGCGGAGAGGCATTTATGGCTGA